TCCTGAAAGGAGAAAATAGCCCTGTTTTACCCCAGTCAGGACACATACTTAATCCCTTTGCTAGAACAAGCCTAGAAAACCTGACATACTGCAAGATTGTGTCTGTAATGAATGATAATAACATGAAATGTCTGTATTTGCTGGTTTTAATTAGACTTAGAATGTGGCCGTATAGTTCTCCTTCTAATTTACTTTAATTCATAAATATCTCAGTGTCCAACATAGCAAGACTGAATCCTGACTTAAACACAGCTGTATGCTCCCAATTTCTGCGTGTGTTCCTCTTGCTGAGCCTACTCTGGGAAGCTCTCCATAGACCTTAGGCAAAAGCATCCCTTCCTTTCTTCCTTTTAACCCATTCTACTTCAAAGATTTTGGACAGATGCTTTATCTCAAGCACTTTGAGTACAGTGTTATTTTATGTCCAGATAGGACAACAGATGCCGTTTTTGATAGAATCTGTAGAATAACCATAAAATAAGATATTTTTTTTTTAATAAAGAAAAATGCTGTAAGTTACAAGTTTTAAAGCAATACTGTTTATTGAAAATTTGAGTACTTATATCAGTGAGACCTTATTTCATAATGTTGTGATTGTTAATACAGCATTTAAAAAGTGATAAAAGCCTTTTTGCTTTGGAGATCTCAGACTGAATTACTGTATTTCTAAGTTTTTAAATAAACTGCTTTATGGTTTTATTTTAGATAACTCAACAACTTGAGAGCATTTGTTTACAGATCATTGGCCTCGTTTTGCAGAAACACGTTATAGGTATGTTTTAGAGATAGTTTTTAGAAAAACATTTCATGTTTTTACATAGAAAATTCTTAAATTAATTATTGCAAACAATACTATCTTCCTGAGCAGAACTTCATGTTTTCTGTGTGTGTGTGTTTCTTTAAAGAAAAAAAGACATTAATTTTCAGTTATGATTTATTTCTCCTGATCTCCTCTTGTACATTAATCAGGCTGGTTATTGTGTTTTGGAGGTCAGACTCAAAAGCAGAAGATGCAGTTCTGATTATAGTTCTAGCTAGCTGTGTTAAAGGACAATGTCTACAATGACATTAGTATTTTGTGGACATGGTCTGCAATTAAATTATTGCTTGGTCAGTATCCTGCACTAAAGAGACACACAGTTTTGTGATAAGGCCTTTAGGAAAAAAACAAAGGTTGAGGAAAGTAAAAATATTTTTCAGTAAATCATTTCGAAGCAATGTCTTTGATGTGCTGGTAATATATTTTTCTGGTATGTATTTATAATGAAAAACTATTCATATTGTTGTAGCTATAGCCAACATAAGGCACATCTAAAAGAGTCTCTTCCAATTTGTATTATTTTTCTATGTATTGATTTAGTTACTAATTGCTGTCTTCTAGTTGTATGACTCGGGGCTTCGTTTCAGATTTTGAAGTATTTGCAAGCTAAATTTATTTTTTAGAGCACCCTATTTCAAATTGTTTCTCCCTTCCAGAGTTTTACGAAGAAATTCTCTCCTTGGCCTACAGCTTGACATGCCAGATGATTTCACCTCAAATGTGGCAGCTTTTAGGTGTTCTATATGAGGTTTTCCAGCAGGATTGCTTTGAGTACTTTGCAGGTATGATTGCTTCTATTCTACTGATGTTTCCACTGTTTGGGAATTCATCTCTAAAACCTACCTTAATAAGGGTCGCTTCCAATTAGTGTCTTGGTTTAAAATGATCATGTATTTGAGTCATGCCCTGACCGTCTGTTTAGTATGGGAGTATAACAAGAGCATATTTAAGTAGGAGAAGCGTATTCAAATCTGTCAGTATGATCAGTTATTGTAGGAGGTCCTGAACTCAAAGAAAGCTGATGTAGACAAAGTTAATGTGAAACTACAAATTAATTAATTAATTAAAATGTAGTCCTGTTCTATTTCCTCTTCTGAGAAGGCACCCTGCATGGTGCACTTTATGAAGAATTCTGCTAGAATAGACTTTGGCAGAGTTTTAATTTCCAGTTGTATCCAAGAATCTGAGCTAATGAATTCCATTACAGGACTACAGCCTCACTATTTAGCACTTGCATGGATTAGTTTGTAATTTTTTTCTCTTTCGCTCACCTTGTTCTGCAGATATGATGCCTCTCTTGCATAATTATGTGACCATTGACACTGATACTTTACTGTCTAACCCAAAGCATTTAGAAATCATTTATGCTATGTGTAAAAAGGTAAGGCTTCTGATTCCTACTGTTGTGCTTATCACTGGTACTTAACAATCAGATTAGTGGAGTGACCTGAACATGCCAGGTTGTGGCCAGTCATTTCAGAACGAAATGAAATTTGGTCTCAGCTCAGTTCTGAGTACACATAACACCTTCACACTTTTAAAGTGACATGCTTTTTTAAAAAATTACATGCACAAATCTGTGTGGGAGAAAGTTGCTGTTCGTCTTGACTCTCTGCTATGAACAGCTATTTTGGTGAGTAGGGGAATTAATGAAGCCTGATTTCCTTGGGTTGTGTATCTTGCGATTGGTTTCCTTAGTTGTCAGCTAAGGTGTGAACTCATTTGAAGTTCTTCCTACATTTATAATTTTTTTTTCTTCTATGCCAATTTTCTCATGTATAATAAAGTATGAGATCATGCAGCAGCCTTTCTCTGATTTTGGGAGTTCTAGAGTGTTGGGCATCTAGCTACCTGCGTATTTTAAAGAAGCTTACAGGAATTGAATGTGTTTGAGAATTCTGCTGCTTTGTCAGGTTTGATTGACACTAACCATAGGGTTGAAATGTACTGAAAAGCAGCAGCCAATTTCACATGTATGTGCATATACATAGAGTGATGGCATACATCTTGGTTTTAATCACAAACTAGCCTAGAGATAGGACTTCACTTTGCCAGGCTGTTAATCTGCCAGCATCTATTAGAATTGAAGTCAAAAAACAGAAATAGAATGTGGAAAACATCAATGATTCTTATAAGTAATGTTTCCTTTAAAAAACGGAAAGCGATGACATACAAAGAATACTAACATTCATAAAGAACTGTAGCAATTTCTTCTAAATTTTTAAATTCATCTTTAGCCACTTATCCTTGTTTATGTCCTGTAGAGATGATTTTTTAATGTGTCTTAATTCCTCACAATCGGTATGTATATGCTATGTAGAGGTTTTTTGATGTTTGCGGGTACCGGAGCACTTGCTTTCAAAGTTGTCAGTGATTAATACTGTTAAACTAAATTGTCATTCTGGTTGTTAGGTATTAACAGGAGATGCAGGAGAAGATGCAGAGTGCCATGCAGCCAAACTCCTAGAAGTGATTGTTCTTCAATGCAAAGGACGGGGTATTGACCAGGTGCTAGCTATTGAACAGATTTTCTCTTTTACTGGTTTCCAATGATACATGTATGATTCCTGAGAAAAGCAGTTGGAATTAGAGAATTTGAGGGAAATGTGAAGTGTAGGAGTAGGGAGAAATACAGAAAGAAGTGAGCTCAGGAGTGTTTGTAAGGCTTTTTTCTTTTTTTTTTTTTTTTTTTTTTTTGAGATTAAGTATTAGTGGGCATGACCAGAAAATGAATATAGACTGAATGATAAGGATATAGTATGATATGCAGGATTGTCTCTTTCTGCTTGCTCCTAATATGATTTCCCTTTTGATGCAAAACACACATTGTTAAAACTATTGTGGCTGGAAGTTAATTATACATATCCAACTACTAAAGTTGTTTCTCTGAGCAATATGAACTTGGTCCTTTTTAATATTTTGGATTACTCAGTGCATTTGGAAATGACGAATTTTTAGCGTGGCTGGATTGTGATTGCTGGGAAAAACAGAATCACAGTTTTCCACAGTTTCTTACAACATGCCTTTAGATAGTAGTCTTTTTCCTCTTAAGGGCTAAATTCTGGTCTCATGTTTTACTAACACTGCAGACTAAATTACTTTAACATACCATATTTGATGTTGCCACAGTGCAATCCATGGACTTCAGTGATAAATTTTCAGTTAATTTCACTGAAACCAGTATAACTTTACTAATGTAAATCTGAAGTCATTGAAGATAAAAATGTTTCCTGAAAGATTTTATTTTAAAAGAAATCTGGAAGGGATTAAAGTGAATTGTATGCATTTGCATTGAAATAAGTATGTGGTGGAAGGCTTAATTGAGCTCCACAACTCTCTGAATTAAAATGGTTGCACACTGAACTGAAACCCACATACTGAAAGATTCATGATGCTTCCCAAATTATTATAAAGCATAAACGTGCACATTGAAATGTATGTAGATGTTTATTTAATTGTGTAGAAATTTGTGCATACTTGCTTTTATCTGAATAAACTGACTCATTTCAGACTTCTATAAGAAATTTAACATCACTTTACATTTATTAGGAAAAACTTCTTCACTTTTTTCTTGCAGATTTAGGTAATTTCATTTTTAATGCCTGTTAGTTTTGAAATTGTTGGGTATCTTTATCCAAAGATGAGAATGTCTTTGAGTTCTTTTCTAAACCTTTTATACACACTAGAACAAATTCCACCAAATGGTCCCAAATATTCTCCTCTGTCCTGAGAATAGCACTGGCAATTTTTAGCTCAGAGAATAGCTGTTTTGGGAAAGATTTATAAGCATGTGATCAGAGGCTTAAAATGCTTTTATACTAGGAAGTGAATAGAATGCATTCCTAGGTTATACCTGGACTTCAGTTAACCCTGGAGATCAATGCTGGTAAAAATATTTTAAACTTTTGTATAATCTGGCAACATGCATAATGCCTGGGTTTTTTGGTGTGTTTTTTTTTTTTTAAATTTCTTCTTTGTATTTATATGCCTAGTGTATTCCACTCTTTGTGGAGGCTGTTCTGGAGCGGTTAACTAGAGGAGTTAAAACAAGCGAGCTTCGTACCATGTGTCTTCAGGTTGCCATAGCTGCACTCTACTACAATCCTGACCTACTTCTGCACACCTTAGAGAATGTGAGATTTCCACATAATCCTGAGCCCATCACTGCACAGTTCATAAACCAGTGGATGAATGATACAGACTGTTTTCTTGGGCAAGTATTGTGGTGTTTTTCTTTTAAAAGTCCATGGTTTTGATTTTTTTGTTCACTTCTTTTGTATCCCTAGTCATGTTGATGAACGAGTTCTCATTCCTTGGTTAGTCTTAATAACAGTAATCCATACCAGGTATAGTTGCTATGATGCTAGTAAGGGTGACCTACGTCCATGTAACTTTTCCGGGTCTGTTGAGCTACGTGCTGAATTTTCTGCGTTGTGAGGATACAAGGGTACTATATGTATCATATTTCAGAATTCTTTTAAGTTCCCTAATCACAAACTATCTGCTTCTCCAAGAGATGGTCCAGCATGCATTGAGGGTAATACTCAGAGCTGACTAGGAGGATTTCAGCAAATGTTAACTTTTTGTCTGAAATACTGTATACATATTTTCTGTTCTGTATTTTATAAAGTATTTTTAACTGCTCCATTTAATGAAAAAAGACATTATTCTGTCCAATGAATCCCACACTCGTGATTTTAAACCCTGCAACTTGTTCATGATCAACTTGAATATTTATCATTATGCCATTGACGTACTGTTTAGCGTACTCCTGAACTTAAGCTTCATTCCGGCCTCCCTTGAATATGTGTGTATACTGCAGTAGTGTGCACTTGGGCAGGAGCTGAACATTTGTAAAGTAAATGAAGGTGGACAAAGCCTGTCATCACATAGCTAAGCATGCCCTTGATGCTGGGTGGATGTGAAGTCCAGTGCTTGACAGTTAGTGCTTGCCTCTCAGCTGAGATGTGGTGTCTCAAACACACATCGGTGAATTCAAATTCACTTAAGGGCAAAGCAGAGAGTCAGATGTAGTTAACAGCTACCTCTCACCTTCCTGCTGTGAGTTATGTTTTGTCATTGGAGGCTGACATCTGACTGCAGGTATACGGATAGGCTTAGAGCATGTCTTTTCTGTGCATAGTCTATGCCAACAGACGAAGCGTCAGCATGTTAGGAGTCATGCCATGAATGAGCATGGGTCGAGACAGCCAGCTCGTGACCCATAGATTCATACCTTATTTTAGGTTGTCATTCTTTTCCTGCCTGTTTTTTATTGGTACGGTCTTGACTTTCCAATTCTAAACAAGTCTCTAAGGGTTTCTTATGGTTTCTCCACTCCTCAGTCATCCAAATAGCTTTTCTCCATACCAATTCTTATTTGGGTTAATATTCCCTGAAGAGAATTATATGCCATCTTGATATAGCTGCATTATTGCCTCAGTGTCCATCATGAATTTAGGACTGAGTGGTGCATTATAGCACTGCATTACCTTTTTCATAACTGTAATAAAATACTGACTTCCAATCAATGACCAACTGGTATATGCAGGTTTTGCTCTCAGCTTGTCCTTTGTCGTATTTTTAAAACACATACCAAGTGTACACAGTAAAAATTGTTTTCCTCCCTACTGTGTCCTAAGTACAGCTTAGTGGATGAGGATGAAAGCGCAGTAGTTTGTAGAATTGCAGCATAGACTACCTTATTGCAGGTCTGCATGTTAATTCTATCTGTTTTACTAGAATGAAAACCACTTGGAGATACAAGGAAAATTGCCTGCTTTGGTGTATGTAGGATTTGTGCAGATTCCCCGTTCATGTCTGTATTTGAAGGTATTACCGTAGCAGTCTCCCATTGAAGAAAAAAAATTGCTAAACTACATGGATAAAAAGTAGGGGAAAAAATCTGTTATTCATTATAACAAAACTGGACAGTTCATATTATTACAAGCATTCTGACTTCTTCTATCTGCTGTGTATACAAATGTCTACAGTGCATCCTGTATCTTGACATAAATACACATCAATTAGAGGGGTTACTTGAGTTGGTGACAAAGAGGGCATAAAGGACCCGATGTCCCTCATTTCTTTTGGAGTGTCAGTGGCTGAAAAATGGCACCTTTAAGTCTACCTCTCCCCCACTTTGTGGTAATATTGTTGATAATTACTAAATTATTTTTATATCTACCAACTTTAGAAAAGAGCAAGACATTTTAGGATTTCTATGTACTTTTTTTTTTTTTATGACTAAAGCAAAGTTCTTGAGATTCAGCTCTCTGTGCGGTCAGTTTTTGTAATGCATATCAAATGCTGAACGCATACAGAGACAGTAGGAAAGAAGATATTCCCTACAGGTGGTAAACTTGTCATTCCTTTTCTAAAAGAAATCAAAAATGAAAGAAATCTCTAGCTTGAAATAGTTCATCCTGGAGCATTCAGTGAGAAGCTACTCAGATCCAGAGAGGAAAAATGCTGCAGATCTGACTAGGCTCCAACCTCAGATACTCCTGTGAGCTACAGCTTAACTTTCAGTTCTTTTGTGTTGCTTTTCAAAAAGCAGCAGCTACTGCAACTACGGTTCAACTACATTCTTCTACATAGCTGAGACAAAAGTTGACAAAGCCTATGAAAATTAAACACGGAGATCATGATGCTAGATTCTGCTCAGACTTGGTGCTTGAATGGCAGCAGAAGATTAAAATGCATCTCGTTGATCTGCTGCTACCAGCAGTGAAATAAGAATCTGTAATAATGCTTAAATCTAAAAATCTTCCTCAAGTGCCATCTCCTCAGTGTGTGGCTTCCAGGTGTAGGGCTTTTGCTGTAGTACTGCTTGTCAGGCACTGTGATGTGATGTAAGGGACTTCCTCTGTTTCCTTCAGGACAGCACTACTTCTAGAAGACCATTTGTTTTAGTAAGGGTAGTAAGGGTGATCATCTGAACAGCAGCCAGATATTCAGAGGCCTAACTGAACAGGAAAAGACAGAAATGCAAAGAAAACCTGGCTTTCTTGAAACCCTTCCTTGGGTCCACCCCTGCAGTGAAGACATGCAGCAGGCACCCTGATCTGTACACTCCTTTTTCTCACGAGCCATCATTCACTTCTGCCTTGGTTTACAGTTAGATTGCTTTCCAGCAAGAGGCAGTTTTAGGCTTAAATTCAGATCAGTTGAAAGACTCATAGATCCTAGAGGAATTAGAGAAGATCAAAGTAGATCCACCTCCAGGTTTGAAGGACCAGGTGAATCCTACTGCCATTTCTTTGTCAGCCATGCAGGAAATCTGCAACTTACTGGTAACAGTGGCTATACAAGATGCTTTGCCCACATAAATCTCACACCTCTCTGTCCTTCTACTCCTGTGTAGTCTTAGTACCCATAGATCCTGCTCTGCCAGCAGTAGGGTTGTGCATGTCTCAGGCTGGAGCCGACAGTGTTTGCCAAAAGAATGCGGTATTTCTTGAGCAGCAGTTATGAACAGATGAGATGGTATCCATGGGAATAATACATCTGGGAGGGAGAAAGCAGTTACAGTAAGTTAAGTAACTGTTCTTCTATGTTATTAAAAATATGGAAACTATTTAAAACTGATCAGAAATTTGGAATATTAGAAATGATCCAGGCAAGGATTGCTCAGAACTCATTGTAAGACTGTGCATAAATCCAGTATGTCATTGTGGATGTTACATTATCTGTGGATGTGTGCCCATAATGCCCATACATCACAGTATATTGCATTTATTTATTTCTAAATGTTTTCTACAACAACTTCAAACTGAACAGCCATTTGTAGAAACATTTCTTCCTTACTGCTTTCCACCTTTTGCATGACAGCTGAAATTTGGGTGAGACTTCTGCATGACTGAAGCTTACTCTCAATCTAAAAATTCTTCTGTGGAAACTAGGGTGAAAGGAAAATCTAACTTGCTTCAAAAAAACCTCAGTAAGTGATTTTATTGTTTTAGAAGCTGCATAGATGGATTTATTTGATAGAGTTTAAATACTTAGAAATCCTAGTTTTCTCAGAGTTGTTTATAAGATCCTAGTCTTATATAGGAAAACAGGGTTGGTTCCAACTTTGCAGCTAGGAGGAAATGGCTAATTATTTGCAGTTTGTCCAGGAACTGTATTGATGTAATAGAAATCAACTTGATCCTCACATAAAGGAGTACACAGTAAACCAGTAAAGGAAAGGTTTAGTGATTTCCCTTTGAAATACTTTCACCTTGGTTTAAAATACAAAAGATTCTTGGACCTTTTTGTCCTGTATTGGAAGGAAGTGTATTAGCAAGAAAAGGTTCTGCAGTTTATGAAGACCACACACAGCTTTTTAAAAATAGATTTGCATAGGAGTCGTGCATTGCACTGCCATGTATTGCATGGTTAGCACTCCAGGCTTGGTATACCATTGAGGGAACAAGCAGAGTCTGTGCTTGTTAGGGAGGACTATCGTGTGCTGCTGAGCAAATAAGTATGGATCTCGAAGCACAAAGCACTAAGGAGAATTGTATCCAGGCTCCCTCATGCAGATGGAAGGGCGCTGAAATAGTGAGCCTTTTGATAGCAAAGGAATGGTCCTGAAACCATTCTTTGCATTATGAAAATATGTAAATGACATAAACCTCTGTTTTGCTTGTTCAGTCCTGTGGGTACTTGATACAGCCGGGGCGTAGTAGAACACTGAACTTCAGGCAAGGTAGATGCTTATCCTGCTGTTTGTCTCTGCTGGCAGATGGAAGAAACAAGTCTCTTTCTGGCTCAGGTTCACTAAAGATGGCTTGATGCCTGGATTTTTGCTGTCCTGCTGGGCCTTCTAATAACATGCATATCCTGAAGACATGTGTTCGTTCTTACAACTTCTCTGTTTAGAAGGTTGAAAATGGAGCATGACAAATATGCCATATTTTTTGGCTCTTTGGGCTGCTTGCTAATGATGACTCCCTTTTAAACAGCAATGCTTGATTCTTGCACTTTTGTTTGCTGTCCAGAAAAGATAATTTAGTATGAAGCTAAGCCTCTAATTACTAAGATTTTTGTTACGTTTTACTGTGTTGCATTTTGCAATTGGCATTGTGTTATCAGTAGCTTTTTCAAAGGTATTATAAAAGGTAGTGCCAAGTGTCATTAACACCTCTGGCACATATACACTGAAATTGCTTCATTATAAATTTGAGACTTGAAGAAATTTCATGGCTTCCCAGTGTCAAGATGCAGGATAGAAGTCTTCTGCACAGATTACAGAGCTTTGGTCAAACTTGGATGAAGGTGCTGGCAGAGTGAGGAGATAGGGAAAGTTCTTTCTTTTTGTACTTGCAGTAAGGACAACTCTCTCAACAAAGCTATGCTTCAGTCATAGGTAGCATCATCTTTAGCTTGGGTTTTGGTCTTCACAGTGTTGGCATGAGGGCAAATGGTGAAGAGCTTGTTTTCAACATACATAAATGGACAGGAGTAAGGGGTTAATTTTTTTTTTTTGTGAAAGCAGACCTTGTTGCCCTGACTCAGTTTCCTTGGTTGTTTCGTATGCTCTCTTTTGTGCCCCGTTCCTTCTGAAAAGAAAGTATTACAGCTAGCAGTGATGGAAGGACGCTCTTCGCCTACTTGCATTTTGGTGCATTTTTCAACACGTGTAACGGAGCAGCCAAACCCAACATGACAAAGTGTGTCATTTGATATGCCAGTTGAGTTTGTTTTTCTTGGAAGGTCTTCTGTGATCATAATGTTATGCATGGTCATATATAATTTATTGTTGTTGTCAACTACTCTGAGAATGTAATCACTTCACTAAATCCTAACAGGACTAACAACGTGGGAGGTGTAATGATATCCCTCCAGATCTCCAGCCTTGTTTGAGCAAGTGTAAAGTTCAGAAAGATGTAATACTTGATCATTTGTATTACTTAAAGAATATTATAGTTCAGTAGCATGTTATGTGGGATCTTTGGTAATGAAATCGTAAGCACTTAAAAAATTATATTTCTATAGCAATTTTTGAATTGGTGGATTGAGCTGGCTGTTCCCCTGTAAGCTTTATTGCAGTCTGTGGTGCATATCTTATTAGTTTCTTCTCTCTCATCTTCTGTTCTCTTCATTCCAAAGTAAAACTGATTCAGTAACGGAAGTATCTATGAAGAGTCTGGAGGATGGCCATTTTCCGCCAGCTCTGAAGGTTTGCTTGATTTCTGTAGGGCTTGCTGAAACTTCTTGCTAGAACTACTTGTCCTGCAGAAGGCTTGCACAGAAGCTGTCAACATCAAATTGAATAGTTCAAACAAAACAATCTCCTCTCAAGGCCTTGATAGCAAAATACTATAATGTTAGAGAAGAGTTGAATGGTACTGCTGTGTCCAGTAAAGAATACAGTATCTGCAGAAGCAGTTAGAGATTTTTTTTTCCCTTTCTTGTTTGCAAATAGCTTCTCTTTCTGGAAGTGAAAATCAATTCTTATTTTTAAGAGCATAGGCTCTTACATAGTTTCCTGGCTATGGTCACATAAAAAAAACTTTCTGCTACTAATTTCATGATTTTCTTTCCCTCAGTTATCTATAGTTTGTTTTACTGCAGGTCTACTCATTTGCAAGTTCCCTGTTTGAATGTACTGCTGGTTATTCTTGATACAGTGGAATTACTTCCCTGCTTTCACTGGAGTTGGCAATGTGTCTCAAGTTAGTGTCAGAAATTGCATGAGTAATATGGCCATTCTGAGGGACTCCTAGTAAACATGTTTAAATACAGCTAACCCTGTGGCACTCCATAAATGCACCCTGCAATTCCTTGCATT